GAGTTTTAGTTAAACTGGTTAAATTTATTATACGAACTAACTAGTTAAACCAGCTAGTCACATATAAATTGTATTGTAAAATTAAAGTGGTCAGACTACTTTTAAAATGAAAATGATTTTGAATTATTATTGTATGCTGTGGCTTAATTAAAAATGTGAGTAATGAATATAATTTAAGATTTATACAGAGGATTAGAAATTTTAATTCTGCACGTGATTAAGTTATGCGTAATAAAAAGAATTTGATTCATAAACTATTCAGCAGACTAGTTTTACATTGGAATAGAACTATTTTATAATTACAATAAAATTAATTCAACATTAGTTAAAGTTATCACTCTATTTTAGCTTAAACTTGTTAAATTATAATTTCTGTTTTATTTAACGAAAGGGAAATTCGACGAACTTTTAAATTTTGGTTTACTGATTTCCTTTCTTATACTATCATTGTTATTATAAACTTTTCGTTAGCTTAAAAAAAATATGCACCAATTCGCAGAGTATGGTTGTATAGACTCTTGAATATTTCCGTTATTTGAGATTTTTTTCCAAATAATTTTAATCTGACTTTCGATATCGTTTCCATCCTCAATTTCCATAGGCACCGGTAAAGAATTTTGTTTATTGTTTCATTTTTTTGGCATATTACTTTGGATAATTATTGGCATTGGATTTCTATTAATTTGGATATCAGTATATTTTTTTATTTTATTATGCCAGATTTTCAAATCCTATTAATATTAAATATACATCAAGTTAACATAAATTTTACCTAATCAGGCTTTAGTAAATAAATAATTATATGTATTTTAGATGATGATGATTTATGTTTATATTATATTCTTATTATAACAAAAATGCACTAACATTTATAGCACAGAAAATCTTTTGATCGAACAATAATAAAAAAAAAGGCGTTATTATTGAAGCATTTAAAATAAATCATATTTATTAATTATTTTCATTTTTGCTGATTTGGCCGAAGAGTTATTTTCAATCGATAAATAATACTGACAAACCAAATTAAATTACAAATTCTGGTTTAATTAATTTGAGGCGAATCATAGACTATTAATTTGGGATGAATCAGAGTATAGCAGAAAAGTATTAATATGAACATTTCAAATGACCCAATAAAAATAAGCCAAATAATTTTTATGTAATAAAGTTTCGTTATGTTTTATAAACTCTCTTATTCATGTCTCGAGACTTTATTAGCTAAAATATATATTTATTTATATCTAATAAATTTTGAATACAGTCAACTCCTTCTATAATAAACAAGTGGTTCTGAAAGAAAAAAAGGTTGTCATAGAAAATTACTGTTTTCTTTAGTGCTACGGGTTATTTTGAAAAATTTTATATTTTTTATGGAAAATATTTTGTGAAAAAATTTTTTCAAACTTTATTAAATAAATCTTCCTTGCCTTGAAAATTAAGTATAGAACATATAAATTACTATGTTCCATAACAAGGCAAAGACCCATATGTACAAAATGCCACAAGCGCAATAAGTGCAATATACTGCACTTGCACTATGATACGAGTTAATGTTATACCGCAAACCCACGTCCTAGATAATAGATATATTAAATTTTTTGCAGGAATAAATGGCTTTTTTATAATTTTCACAGGCAGCCAGCCTTAAATAATATGCTGCTTCTTCTTTATCTTTCATTCCTGCCAAACCTTCAAATTATATAGAACCTAAATGATACTTTGTATAAGTGTTACCATTGTCGGCAGCCTTCTTAAAAAGTTTTATAGCATGTGTTTGATTTTTTTCAACTCCATGACCATTAAAAAGACAATTCCCATATTTTGCATATGCGTCTGTAATATTTGCATCAGATGCCAACTTAAAAAGACTGGCAATGTCTTTTTGTACTTTTGGTATTTTCTCGTATTGGTCAAATAATATTCTACTATAAAGCTTTTGTTGCAAAAAATAGCCTTTATAATAACTTGCTTTAGGATCTCCAAGTTCAGAAAATATATTGATATATCCCAGTGCCTTCTGCTTATCTCCATCAGGTTTTTTGGCTTCATTCATAGCATTTTCTACTGATAGAAAGCTGGATTGAGAAAAGTCTCTTTTGGATGACTTTACATGTGATTGTTGAGCATTCTCTGGATTATTCACAATATCATACAAACCTTTAAACATATTACAAATAGTAGGACGATTATTTGGCTCAAATTCAAGAGCTAAAAGCAAAAAAAAAAAAAAATACGATGAAAATAAATTCTTAAAAATTCAATATACTTTATGTTGCTACTAAAGAAAAAATTTACTATTTACCTTGCATCATAATATCTATATATTTCTGTGGCATGCAATTATTAAAATCTCATAGTATTTCTTATTATATAGGATTGCATTATTTATTGCATGAATGTCATTGTCGTAAACATCATATGGATTTTTCTCATTTGAAATTTCCTATAGAATAATTCCAAAACTAATTATTTTATAGAATATCAGATATGTAATTTAATTTATATACAGAGAAAAAAAACTGACTTTAAACACAATCAGACAATGTCATTAGCAATAATAATTCCCAGTCACGATATGACGATTAGAAATTATTAAGATAATTTTTGGTTCATAAGTGTTTATAATAGCAATCTTTGGCTGCAGTTATATTTAAAACCTAACATACCTATAAATTTCGCTCCTAAAATCATACTTGTAAACCGAAAAAACTCATTTTAATATTTCTGGTGCTATACTTTTAATTCTATTTTTATCAATTTTGAGATTATTTGAATTATCTGAATTTAATCGGCTATAACAAAAATTTATAACAACAACTAACAACTTTTATGATAAATTTTATTTTTCATCATATATCTAAAATTTATTTTTTAAAATAATTTATTTAAAAATTTTCTTTTGGCTTAGTATAATATCTATAAATATTATAATTACCATAAGTATAAATACTTTATTTTAACTATATTTTTGGAATAGTGTTTATGAACAATTTCCTGAAAGATTTATTTCATAATAGATCTTGTGTACATTGTGACATACAATCTATTTGAATTTTGATTGGCGCATACTTGATAAGAAACCTGTTATTTTTAAACGAAAAGAAATATAAAGTTGATGAAATTTACTTGCTATTCACCAAGTTTATTAAAAACTTTAAAAAATTTTTATTAAAACAATTTTATAAACCTATTTTCAAAATGTCTTTTGTCAAAAAAATTACCCAAAAATTCAACAAGAAACAATTAAAAATTGTTCAAGAATCAAACATCTTTGAACAAGAAAAATAGGAAAATATTCAATATGACTATCCCGAGGTTCTGCAAGAACAAGATGTTGATTGTGGATATGAAAATAGTGATTCGACACCTTTTGAAGAATCGTCTAGGTCGACAGACAATGAAGAAATACAAGAAGAAGAGTCTGTTTCACTATCTATCAAACAAGAAAATCCTTCGATGATTAGTTAGAAGGACTTGTTCACCTTTCTTATTTTTGCCATGCTTTTTTATAGTTTACCTTTCTATGTGTATTTTCATTCCTATTTATATTTTTATTTATTTTTCAAAATTTGTTTATTCATCTCCAATTGTCAAAACATAAGTTTGTCATACATGAGCTTGACACCAGGAGGATTCTGTTTAGTCAGGCAAACATCAATTGTTATTTTCGAGATAGTACACATATCGAAGATATGATTAAGCAATTAGTCAATAGAAGTTTAGATGTTGATGATTTACCTAGACTTGAAGTTTGCCTGATTGATAATGTATAGTACAGCTCTGATAATCACAGGCTGTACTATATACAGGAGGCAATTAGAAGAGGGAC